GTAATCTGCAAACTAGATGTGACTGGCAAATATATACATTCAATTGGGTCCAAAAGATTAACCTCCATAATTTTTTGTATTATTACTTGGAGTTGCAGGAATTAAAAGGCTATTGTGGCAGTTAAGTACAACTTAACATTGAAAGGGGTATAAGCAGTGGTGGGATTCAAATAATTTAACAACCGGTTCTCTGCCCTAATGATTTCTTCCAACAACCAATTCACCAAACTGCTCAGAAAGTTAACAACCGGTTCTCCCGAAGTGATGCGAACTGGCTGAATCCCACCACTGGGTATAAATAAGAGCCATTGTCAAACCAGGTTCTACTCCTGGTGATGTCTTGGACATACCTATGTACTTTTCTTGGCAACAGTTCCGACATGGTTTATAATTGTCTGCTTCCAAGGATGTGTTTTTAAAGTTCTCAATCTAGTCTCCATTCTGGTATATTTTTGGGTGGTCTCCTGTCCAAGGACTAACCAGATCTGGCTTGGCTCAACTTTCTGAAATCAATCAAGGCTAGCTAAGTACTGCCACCTATCTAGGTAAGTCATGTGAATTCTGTTAAGCTCCCCATAAAGACTGGTTTAAAGGGATTTCAATAGTAAATAAGAGAAAGAAATGAACACATTCTGAGTCTTGGACCAGTGGTGGGTTCCTCCCGGTTTGGCCTGGTTCTGCTGAGTCGGTAGCGGTGACGATATGACATCACCGAATCGGTTCTGCTGCCCCCCCCGCCCTACAGCTAATCAGAGGGGAAAAAACTGTTTAAACTCTTGCCGCGGGGCTTCAAAGGGCTGCCCTACAGCTGATCAGTGTTAAAAGAAAACAAATGAGAAGACCGGTGCCTGCAAAAATAAATGGGTAGACCAGTGCCTGCAAAAATACATGAGTAGACTGGTGCCTGCAAAAATAAATGGGTAGACCAGTGCCTGCAAAAATAAATGGGTAGATCAGTACAGCTCTGCAAGCAGTTAAAAGCCTGGTAGATCAGCACATCTGCTAAATCCTAAATAATTGTCACATGACCATCAAGCCACGCCCACAAAATAAGCCACGCCCACAGAACCGGTAGTAAAAAATGTTAGAACCCACCCCTGTCTTGGACCTCTGCTGTTTCTTGTTCCAACAATTTGTCTGGAATTGAAGCTGGGAAAGAAATAAGTGCCTAGTCTGACCAACTTGCAGAGACCTAGGACACTTGTGGGAAAGGATCCAGTAGGGCCCTTCCATGCATATTTTTAATGCTAAACTAATATATTGTTTATTATGTGTAAATATTTATGCCACTCTTCTATAAAACCTCTATGTTTGCAGCTTAATTATATTACATATATGCATTCAGAAAATTTAAAAAAAACCACATGCCCTCCAGAACACCTCCTCTCTAGCAGCCAATATCCGGACAAATAGGGATTTAACACCAAACGATCAAGCAGAAAGCAATACTTCAATCAAAGAACTACCAAGGGGAAAACCACATGCCCACCAACATTGGCAAGGCAAGCAACTGTGTAGAAACCGGATCAAATCCCACACTCTCTTGAACTGATGATATAACCTAGTTGGGTGATGAAACACCTGCAAGCAAACAGCCAAACTCAGAGAGCATCAAGAACTCCACAAAAAATAAACATAAATAAAATCGTATACGATAGCATATGCACAAGATGTTTGGACCTGTCGTTGTTATTGTAAAGCATCAAAAATAGTCCCAGGGATACTTCCTGTAGAGGGGCATTCCCCATTGCATTTGGGATAGCTCTAGATCAGGGGTCTCCAACCTTGGCAACTTTAAGACTTGTGGACTTCAACTCCCAGAATTCCCAGAACTTTGGGAGTTGAAGTTCACAAGTCTTAAAGTTGCCAAGGTTGGAGACCCCTGATCTAGATGATAATAATTGGTTGTTTGCCTGAGACACCACATGTCATGTTTTGGTGGCTTTGAATTTCCTATTGCTGTTACCAACTTTTGTTACCATTGGCAGAATCTTCCACGGTAGGTTGATTGGTCCCAAAACTTGGGAAATCCTTGCTAGTTTCTTATTTATTTATTTATTTAACCAGACGGTATTATATCACATGGACAATACAAGTCACTTTTCCTTTTACTCCCCAGCACAACTCTCCAGATTAAATTGTCTATTCAGGATAGATTGCCGTAGGGTTTTCTTGATCTAGCCCTGAATTCTCTGTATACCACTTGGCCTGGCAAATGTGATCATAAAAAAGGAAGAACCTCTAAACATATCCAGAATGCCCTCCCTTATCTTTGACAACAGAGAAGCAGAGAACAGCATTTCAAGGCAAAAAATTTCAAGGATTTCATGCCACAAGATGATTTCTATCCTCTACCAACCTCATGGAGCAGCTGCATTTTCTGAATGGTGCAATATGCCTCAAACCTTTGGATTTTTTCCAAGGATAAGGAGTGTTCCACTTAATCTCATGGTACTAAGTCATGTGCAACAACTATTTGCAGGAGAGCTTCAGATTGGACTGTAGTAAAATCTGACAAGAGTAGCCTAAGGGGGGGAGGCTAGGCTCCAAAATTCAAGATGCTTAAAAAAAAAAAAGAACTGGAAAAAATGTATTTTGAATCAGCATCAATATTGCAAAAAGTTCTGTCTAAGTATTAGAACTGGAACTTCACCCTGTCCTCATATGTAACAAGTGTGCCATTGGGCATTACAGATGTTGTTTCCAAGTTGGCCTTGACCTTAGATGTAGGGGGCCATGTAAGTTGCAACTGCTTTTGTCTTTTATTAAAGAAAAATGTCCTTGAAGCCTGTGCCCAGAATTGATATTGGGCATTTAAGAATCATTCATATACAGTATACACACAATGCATCCACCATGTTTTTGAAATAGGAGATATAAAAACATTTCCATCATGTCAACCGTCTATTTCCAAAATCCTTTTTTAAAAGTGTAATAAAAAGCCATCCTTTTTTAGCAGTTAAGATTAAAATATGTGTAAAGAAATACTCCTTAAACCCATATGGTTGCATGCTCTTTCTTTTTTTCTCATCAATTGTTTTTGTTCCAATTCTTTTCTTTCTCCCAAGTTTTATTTCTGCTCAAAGCTGGAAGAGGGAGAAAGGTTGGTCCTTATAATGAATTAGGGCAGCAGATGTGTTGATTGGAACTGAAGTGGGGTCTAAGGAGACAATTTAAGTAGGAGTGTTCCAGTCGAATACACTCAGAATCTAATCCAACATGTCTAATTCAATTTATCAGAAAGCCACCAGGTTGTGTGTCCGGCATAATATTTCTATTCTAAGATGCATGCTTAGCTCTGTTTGGAAATTTTGCTAGGCTTTCCACGTATTCTTGTCTGCTGCTTGACCTGACTTGAGATAGTTTACAGATAAATATATTTATATTCTCAAATTCTTGGACACAAGGATAAGCTGCTGTAGAAGTTAGACAACTATCAAGAAATGAGAGCTGGATTTCTTTAACTCTAGTGACCCAAAGATAGTTTAGGCATCTTTAGAAAATCAAGTTGATTTTTTTTTTTTTTTTAGTTGATGAAGTCCATGCATTATTTTCTCTTATGGCTGGTTCTGAATTTCAGAAAACAAACACCTGAAAATGCAAACTTTTTCAATTTTAAGTCCAGGATGTTTTCCGTGTGAGAAGAACAATCTTATTTGATATCTCAGAAATGATACTTATGACATTCTTTGCTCATATGCTGTCATGTATACTCTACGGAGGTGACATGCAATAGCTGTGATTCTAATAGAACATATCAATTGAAAAAAGTCAGGTCAGATTTTATATCAAATACAAATCATAGACCATTTCTCCAGTAATCATTTATACTGTCCTTCAGTATAATTCAACCCATATTCTGCCAATGTAACAGGGGTGAGGGCAGCTGTTATATTGTCTCAGTGATGTTTAGGTGATGCTAGAATGTGCTATAAATGATTAATGGAAAACAAGTATACCATAACTTTAGTCAAGCCAATCATTCTAATTTCAGCTCTAACTCCACTCCCTTAGGCAACATGGAGTTAAGATCAAAAGGTTTACATTTTGCAAATCAGCATTAGTGCGAGCACTAACTTTCTGCAGTGCTGTATAAAAACAATGTGGATTGTTATATGTAGTGAGCACTCAGTAGAGAACAATGGCAACGTGTATCTTTCAAAGCTTTGTGCATACACTCAAAGCAACATTTTGTATGCCAGGGGTTCCAGGTTCAACTCTGGCATCTCCAGCAAAAGCTGAGAAAGCCCCCTGCTCAAAATGGGGAAGCGTTTCTGTGAATTCTGATGTCAGGATCTGACAAAATGCTGCTTAGCGGGCAACTTGCTTGTTACCCCTGTCACAACTCACTCACTACCTCCACCAAAAAGAGTAGCTCGTTGTGAAAAAAACTTGCCATGTCTGAAGCATTGCAGAAATGCAGGAGTGTGCCACATGTTACACATTTTCAAAGCATGTGGCATTTCAATGGCTTTGAAGTTCTTATTGGCACTTTTCTTCTTCCTGTCTGTCCTCATTCAAAAGCTCAAAAATTTCTACTTGTGTAATGGCAAACACAATCGTTCCTTGAATAAGAAAACAAACCATAGTCAACAATAACATAGTAACTCAGTCCCCAGATCTTAACTGGAGGGGGAAAACTTTGGTTTGGAACCCCTGAGGGTCCTTCAGACAGAACGTGGCTCCAAATTGAAGGAGCTGCATCACCAGGGCTCTTGCCGGCTCCAGAAACCTGCCAGTTAAACAACAACAGCCACAACTCCAAGAAGCTTTAGCCTTGGGGGCATGAGTTATTCTTTTCCAGAATGAAGCCGCCCAAGCGCTTGGGGAGTGAGCGCATCCTTCCCCAGAGTCCTGCCCTTGTTCTGCAGGGTTGAGGCTCCTCTGCAGAGAACTTTCCCTTCCCTGGGACATGCAGACCTGCACACAAACCTGCACCCTATCTTGCAGCATCACACAGAGCGCCTCTGCTGCAGGCTACACAACTGAGGGCAATGTACCTCTGAACGCCACCTTGGCTATCCTGTCCGCTTTGCCTCTCAGGTTGGTGACCCTCTTCAGACGCACGATCAAGGCCATGGTGGGCCGGTGACGGGGAGTAAGTACCCTCTGCTGTTCTTGCTACAACCTGGCAAGGAAAGGAAAGGCAACGGGCACGAGGTTTGGAGCAGATGTGGGGAATCCAGCTGCCGGGTGCCCTTCAGAGCTGTGTCACCCTCTTCTTCTCTTTGCCTGCTAAGCCTCGGTGCAGCTCTTCAGCTGGAGAGCCACCTCCTCCCATCCCGGTCCAGATCAGGAGCTGGTAAACCGGAGCCGCTGTGCCAGTTGGGCTGCCTGGGGAGCAGCAAAGTGACTGCTGGCTCTCAATTATTCAAGAGCTGTCGCTGGAAAGTCCCGCTCGGCGCTCTTTACACGCTGCCCGGGCTGATCCCTCGTTCCAGGCAGGACTCTCCCCATCCTTCCGTCGCCTTTAGCAGGAGGATGCTAAAACCTGGGGTCGCTTCACGACGCTTCTCCTGCCCAAAGCAACGTGACTTTTGCCTGGGGGAGCCAGGAGAACGGAGGAGCATCCCTCCACCACGCTGGCTCTGGCAGGGGCTGAAGCTACGGCTGGCGTGCCTTAACTGCTTCACTGCTGAGTCCCCCCCCCTCACCTCAAACCCTCAAAGGAGTACCAAGCGGGGCTCGCGCGATCCTGGGAGGGACTGAAGGTAGATGGGGGGGGTCTCAGCTTCCGTCCTCAGGCTGCACACACACACACAACCACACACACACCCAGCAGATTTCTGCATCGAAAGGCAGGCAAGCACTCGGGGTTTTCAGTCCAAGCTCCTAAACCGAACCTCTTTCGCTCTCCATCCGTCCAACACGTTAAAATACTCGACCCCGAAGATCCTCTTTGCACACCTTGTGCGAAGAGTAGAGCATGAACATGTGAATGTTTTTAAGACGTTATCTAATTTTAGGTTCTATTTAATTGGGCCAAACTATGTTATAATAATAATTTTAATTAGCAATTTTATGATGTTTGTGTATCTATATTTTTTCTTGACTGTACACCGCCTTGAGTCCTACAGGAGAAAGGCAGTATAGAAATATAATAAATAAATAAATAAATAAATAAAATAAGGCTCGCTTAGTGGTTTTTATCGTGAGGATCTTAGGACGATCGCCGTTCTGCGTTTGCATTTGGGGTCCAACCCAGGACCTCGGGGGGGGGGGGGAAATTCATAAAGAGGGAGAAGAACTTTTTTCCCCCCCTTACCTGTTCCCAAACTCATAGACAGAACAGAGAAGGTATCCCTTAATGATCTCGATTAAATCTAAAACCATTTAAATATTGAGAGTTGCCCAAATAGGACATTACTACATGAAAGAGAAGAATGAAAGAAACAAGAAGTAAGTTTGTCCATTCGTATCTCCTTCAATTTTACAACTGAGAGGCACTTGAGAGTGATGGCTAGTTTTTTGTTTGTTTGTTTGTTTTTATTTGATTTATATGCCGCCCTTCTCCAGAGACTCAGGGTGGCTTACAATGCGTTAAGCAATAGCCTTCATACTTTTGTATATTTATACAAAGTCAGCTTATTGCCCCCACAAACTGGGTCCTCAATTTACCTACCTTAGAAAGGATGGAAGGCTGAGTCAACCTTCAGCCTGGTGAGATTCAAACTTACAGTAATTGCAGACAGCTGGTGTTAATCACAATGCTATCAGTCTGCTGAGCCACCAGGCTCTTGATTTAAAATTTAAAGTGTTAGTCTATTCTAGTGCTAGGGAAGGTCAGATTTCACTCTACACTTGGCTAGGAGAGGTTAATTTTGGGCTAGCTATTCCTTCTTTCACATGCTCTTCCTGTTCTCTCGTTCTCAGCCTGACCTACCTCACAAGGTTGTTGTGGGAAAAGTTAGAGAAAAGAGCACTTTGTGCAGTATATATGAATAGAATAGAATAGAATTCTTTATTATCCAAATGTGATTGGACACACAAGGAATTTGTTTTGGTGCATACGCTCTCGGTGTACATAAAAGAAAAGATACATTCGTCAAGAATCATAAGGTACAACACTTAATGATAGTCATAGGGAACAAATAAGCAATCAAATCATATTAGGAAACAGTCAATATAAATCTTAAGGATACCAGCAATAAGGTTACCGTCATACCGTCATAAGTGGGAGGAGATGGGTGATATATGAATGCTTGTGGCAATATTTGTTTGTTGGCAATATGTGGACACTTTTTTTATGCAGGTTATGATACTTTGTTGGGTGTGAGCTTGAATGTCCTGGAACAAAGGCTAGCATCGAGGAGTGTGGATCTGAAGTGTAATGTATGAAAGATCAAGATAATTGATTGTGAATAATTAAACATTACAACTAAGTGATTTAAAAAAAAACACAGCTAGATGAGTTTGTGTACTTCGATAGGATAAAGTGATTTTAAGAAATGAAAATGCTGATAGAAAGATTGGTATATTTGTTTGCCATAAGCAGTGAAAATGGCTTCTGCCTGTCTATGGCGGTTCTCAGTCATGGTTGTCCCTAGAGGTGCTTTTCCAAAAGGCAACTGGACTTTGTATTTCTTTGAAGACGTTTCACTTCTCATCCAAGAAACTTCTTCAGTTCTTCTTCAGAAACATCTTCAAACAAAAACAAAGAAAGTCCAGTTGCCTTTTGAAAAAGCACCTTTGGCTTCTGCCTGTTTTATTATATTGGAAGCAAGAGTTTAATATATCAGGGGAAACCCCTTGAATCAATGGGAAGGGGTTCCTTAAGACATATGAGTAGCAAGAGAAGAGATCGAATCTAAAAAGTTCAGGTTCTGAATAGATCTAGATTGAACTGACTAGGTGGCTCAGTGGCTAAGACAACTGAGCTTGTCGATCAGAAAGGTCGGCAGTTCGGCGGTTTGAATCCCTAGTGCAAGTCTCCTGATTGAGCAGAGGGTTGGACTAGATAACCTCCAGGGTCCCTTCCAATTCTGTTACTAGATAACTGAATACAAACCTAATCAGTAACTAATTCCAACTTTTCCTGCAAAAGAATATCAAGGTAGAGGCAGAAACATTTTGGGGAAGTAGTGCAGAGTACAAATGTGAAAGAAGTATATTAAAGTGATTTTGGTTGTATATTATGTAGAATTAATGAAGATGTATTTATTTATGAATTCATAAAAGAAGACTGAATAAGTCAAATGGAAGGGAAAGACTGGGCAGTTGTGGCTGGGTGGAGTTAATGAGATACTCAAAAACTGACAGAGGTGACATTAAAGCAAGGATGAAATCCAGCAGGTTCTGACAGCTTCTGGAGAACCGGTAGTGGAAATTTTGAGCAGTTCGGAGAACCAGCAAATACCACCTCTGGCTGACCCCAGAGAATGGGGATTTTGCAATATCCTTCCCCCAGGAGTGGGGAGGGAATGGGGATTTTGCAGTATCCTTCCCCTGCCACCCCTACCAAGCCACACCATGCCCACCAAGCCACGCCCACAGAACTAGTAGTAAAAAAAAATGGATTTCACCACTGCATTAAAATCTCCTGGAGTCACCTTGTATAAGTTTGTTTAATAAATAAATACAATAATGAGGCAGTGTATGGAAATGATAGAACCAAATGCACTGACGGGGGAATTCCAGGAACTGAAGTCCAACTGAAGTTAAAGTTGCTAAGGTAGAGAAACATTATCCTTAACTGGAGAATTTTTTTTTTCTCCGAGCATCTGATTCCTGGGGCTTCAAAGTACAGGCAGTCCATGACATACCACCATTTGTTTAGTGGCCACTCCAAGTTACAATGGCACTGAAAAAAGTGACTTATGACCAGTTCTCACACTTAGGACCATTCCAGCATCCCCATGGTCATGTGTTCAAAATTCAAGTGTTTGGCAATTGACATGTATTTATGTTGGTTGCATTGTCCTGGGGTCACACGATCACCTTTGCAACCTTCCCAGCTGGCTTCTGACAAGCAAAGTCAATGGAGGAAGCCAGATTTACTTAATGACCACATGATTCGCTTAACAGCTGCCTGTGATTCTCCTAACATCTGTGGCGAAAAGGTGTGTGACTCATTTAACTGTCTTGCTTATCAAGGGAAACGTTGAGCTCAATTGTGGCCCTAAGTCAAGGACTACCTGTTCTGGAAAAAAATTGTAGTTTCCAGGGTACCACCAGACATTCACAAACAATTGCGGAGATAACCACCCCCACAACTCTGCTGTTCACTCCCCACTCCTCCCTGGGAAGGGCTTAGCTGTTGCTGCTAAACTCTTCACAACTGTTGCACTGTTCTGCAGACATATGGAAGTGCAACACTGAAAAAGAGTGTTGATTATGTTCTTCCTTGCTTCTGTGCCCTCTCTTTTTCATCGTTTTGCATGTGCCTGTGCAGCCATATTCATTGTGTAGCTAATGGTAGCAGCGGGGCTTTGGAACTCTAAAGAGGCTGAATTATTTTTCTGCCGCTTATCACAAGTTGCTTCTGTCCAACGGATCTGTAAGAGTTGTTGCAGACTTACAGAAGAGATCCAGGGACTTGTTCTTGGTGTGAACCCAGCCACGAATCAGTAAGTGATGAGAACAGTACAAACAGATTGAAAACCAGTCCCTGAGCTAACAGGGTGTTCCTGGCCCAGCAAAACTGATTCTGCAGGTTCTTTTCTTTCTTGAATTGCAAATAAAAAGTAATGTTTGATAGTTGGGAGAAGCCATCTGGATATGCTCACAGACGTAGAAGCTCATCTTTTCTTTTTAACCCCATCTATCCAGCATCATAGCATAGCATAGCATAGCATAGCATAGCATAGCATAGCATAGCATAGCATAGCATAGCATAGCATAGCATAGCATAGCATAGCATAGCATAACATAACATAACATAACATAACATAACATATAACAGAGTGGTCAATGCCTGGAATGCACTACCTGACTCTGTAGTTTCTTCCCCAAACCCCCAAAACTTTAACCTTAAACTGTCTACTGTTGACCTCACCCCATTCCTAAGAGGTCTGTAAGGGGCGTGCATAAGCGCACCAGCGTGCCTACCGTCCCTGTCCTAATATTCCTTTTTACTTACTCTTTTCATGTATCCAAATTATGTTTATACTTTTACCTGTTATCTTATATGTGATTGACTAAATAAATAAATAAACATTTAGAGAATACCCAGAAGTTGGTGTGCAAGGCAGCAAACTGTCCTTGATACACAAGACACACTTCCTCAGGAACATTTATCTTCACTCACACCATCTGAAAATTGTAATCCAACAGATTTGGAAGATGTCTAACTGGGAAAGGCTGTTGTAAAGAGACAATCATTTCTGCACAGCTAAGGAAGAAATGCCCATGGATGCTAACAAAGTTTCTCATTCCATTTTTGAAACGAGGAAAACCTGGATGATTGGGGCTCCCAACATTTAGGAAAGAATTCCTTGGGATGGGAAATTTTGGATGATTGCTTGTCATCTTCAGTTAATTTTTAGCAGTTGTGAATAATTCAGGCTAGGTATTCTGCCACACGCTATATTTTTCTTAGTTGATTTAACAGCTTGGGGAATATAAGCAAAAGAAAGATGTTGCATTCACATTTATTCTCAAATGTTTCCCACCTCCACCAGACCGGCTGGTGAAGTTATACAAGACATACCGTGTGCAAAGATAATTTAGAAAATAAAACATTAGCCATGGTTCCTGCAGTAGCTGATCTGGACATAACCTCCCCTGCATTTGGCTCCTGAAGGAGAGCTACTCTCATAAATCTGAACATAGCCAG